CACACACACGCACACACACGCACACACACACACACAGTGAGTGCTGGTGTGATTAATGATGGCAGCAGTAGAACAGCTCTCAGCCAGATGTCACATGACACCTGATGTTGATTCTCTCTTCCTCTGTCACATCTTCATCTTCCTCCATCCAGCTCTGCTCCTCTTCATCCAAGTGTCCTCTCAGATCTGTGTCGGTGGACGTTCTCCATGCTGTGTCACTTCAGGACATACATGGAGAGAAACAAGCCAATCTTTTCTCTTTCCCTGTGTCTCAGTGATGAACAAAGGTCAGTGCGTGACCAAGTATTACCGCTGGATCCAGAAGAACGGTGGCTACATCTGGATCCAGTCCAGCGCCACCATCGCTGTCAACGCCAAGAACTCCAAYGAGAAGAACATCATCTGGGTCAACTACGTCCTCAGGTCAGAGATGAGCTCACTTTACATTTTCAAAGGTCGTTCAGAATAAACATACGCTAAGTAAACCAAACCTTATTTCAATTCTAAMTGTTCATAAATGAAGATTGTAACATTTCTTTTTATGTTTCATCTTTATTATCACAGTTTTCTGCAACAATAACTTCAGAACACACCACTTAATTTATTGACACCATCATGTTTTTCCTTTATTTCTTCACAGTAATCCTGAGTATAAAGACACGCCCATTGACATTGTTCAGCTGCCAAACCTGCCAGAGAAAACGTCCGAGTCCTCTGAGAGCTCAGACTCAGAGTCTGAGTCCAAAGAAAACTCAGGTATGTTTCAGTCAGAAGAACAAGTGGAGACAGAGCTGAAACTAAGATTTGTTAAAACACGTTGTTTTTCTCACGTTTCATGGTTCTTATATGAAGCAAGACGTGTTTCTTTCTCTTGTAGCCTTTGCTAAAAACAAAATAAATGTTCWAAGTAAAATCAGCAGGAGGAAGTGCAGCCTACGAAGAAAAGCCAACAATATTTTATCAGTTGGTGCCAGTGTTCAGTCGGTGCCAGGCTGGATGGTCATGAATSCCAACAGCTGCAGGGACTGGGAACTCTCCAACATGACAAAATGATAAAAGACGTCATAACTACACACAAATAACACAAAACCTGCAGAACATCTGAGCTGCGGAGGATGTGACATGATGCAGGCAACACCTAATAAAGTCAGTAACATCCTAATAATAAAGAATTACAATAATCCAACCAACACGTTTTATAACAAGATGTTTCTGTTTATGAATATAACTAACATTTTTAATGTGGGGGTTAAAAGACATGTCCTGATCAAAAATAACACCAAGCTTCTTTACATCAGAACTGGAGGCCAGATTAATGCATCCAGAGGAGCTGAAAGGCTACAAAGTTGATCCCTGAGATCTTCAGGTCCAAGAACCAGAACCTCTGTCTTATCTGAGTTTAGAAGCAGAAAGTTAACCTTCGGGCATAAAATACCATAAAACACCTTCAAAAGTACACAAATTAAATGAAGTACTGCTTTTGAACCCTTTAGAGTAAATTCACAA